ATTCGTAGGACTTTTTCTGAGTGGGAAGGTTTACTTCAACAAAACGAAATAACATACAAGAAAAAATGTATAAATGAAACATATAAAACACATAATTATATAAATATATATATATATATATATATATATATATATATATTTTTATGTGTTTTTACATGTTTTTACACATATATATATATATATATATATATATATATATATATATATATATATATATATATATCAAGGTATAGATCTTTTCGATTTTATTAAAGCTACATCAGATATGTCAGAAATAGAGTAAAAAGAAAAATATTCTGAAAAAAATATTCTGTTATTTTCTATTTGTTGCTTGATTTCCATTAATCAGTCATATGTCACGTGCATGATAACAGTACACACACACACACATATATGTATATATATATATATATATATATATATATATATATATATATATATATATATGTATATATATATGAGACTATATATATATGTATATATATATATATATATATATATATATATAGATCATAACTCATATATATATATTTTTATATATATATATATATGGGACTCATATATATATATGTATATATATATATATATATATATGAGACCTTTCTATATATATATATATATGAGACTCATATATATATATATATATATATATATATATATATATATAATGGGTCGTTTTCTATTTTATAGAAAGACAACAAGTATAGACGTAACTAAAAGTTATATAACAAATTACGTCTTTTCTTGAAAACCGATAGTTCGAGGTTAAAATTAAGTCAGTTGTAATTGAATTCTTCGTCAAGATTAAGTTAGTTTTATTTAATTTGATAATTGTTATACAACGTGTTTGAATTTCGTTTGAGGTGGCTGTGCTGTTGCTCTTCGTAGAAGGAGAGATGGTGGCAATCGCAGCTGATGTGTACAAATGCGAGCGAACCCGCCTTATCGTCAGCGTCTGTTAAATCTGTTCTATCACCGAGCAAGATAATATTTACATAACATGCAGCTCCGTCCGAAAGGATATCGAAAAATGGATAAAAAAATGAACGACAACTTCTGTTAATTGTAATTGCATTAAAATTAAGTAATTAAGCACACACGTACACACATATAAATGTGCGTGTGTATATAGGAACATTCCTGTTTCATATCTTGAATTTAAGCATGCTTAGACATTTTGAGTTTAACATTGGCTTTATTCATATATATATATTTATTATATATTTATATATATATATATATATATATATATATATATATATATATATATATATATATATGTATATATAATTATTTACTCTAAAATTATAACATAATTATGTTATAAAATCACTACAAAAATAGCCATGTTGTTTCAACACTTCTGGTGTTTTATCAAGTGATGGTCTTGAATGTAGAATATAGGGTTTTAAAATTCAATACATATGTATATATATATATATATATACTTATTTATTCGAAAATAATAACATAAATATGTTATAAAATCATTATAAAAATAGCCATGTTGTTTCAACACTTCTGGTGTTTTATCAAGTGATGGTGTTGAATGTAGACTAAAGGGTTTTTAAATTCAATATATATATATATATATATATATATATATATATATATATATTTATTCGAAAATTAAAAATAAAATAAATATATTATAAAATCACTACAAAAATCGCTATTTTGTTTCAACACTTCAATTGCCTCATCAAGTTGATGGTGTTGAATGTAGAATAAAGGTTTTAAAATTCAATATATATATATATTCAATATATACATATATATATATATATATATATATATATATATATATATATATATATACTTATTTATTCGAAAATAATAAATAAATATTTATAAAATCATTATAAAAATACCCATGTTGTTTCAACACTTCCTGGTGTTTTATCAAGTGATGGTGTTGAATGTAGAATATAGGGTTTTAAAATTCAATATATATATATAAATATCGAAAATAATAACATAAATATGTTATAAAATCATTATAAAAAATACCCATGTTGTTTAACACTTCTGGTGTTTTATCAAGTGATGGTGTTGAATATACAATATAGGGTTTTAAAATTCAATATATATATATATATATATATATATATATATATATATATATATATACACTTATTTATTCGAAAATTATAACATAAATACGTTATAAAATCACTACAAAAATAGCCATTTTGTTTCAACACTTCTGGTGCCTTATCAAGTGATTGTGTTGAATGTAGAATAAAGGTTTTTGAAAGGTTCAAATTAATCAAACATCCCTCGCTAGGGGAAATGCTGTTACATAAGCTGGAATGACCAATCAAAATACAAGTATATGAGAATTTCAAAAACACTTGTCAACGAATCTTGGTTATAATAATTATTTAATGCTTTAATGTTGGAGATAGACTAAAATAGAATTCATTCTAACTAATTAATATTAAATTATACTATAAAAATCAAAAATCAAAATTACCAATTTTAAATTTTAATTTTAATCTATATTAAATTTAAAAAAATATAAAATTATTCAAGGATAAAATGAGGAAATTTTTTGTTATTTATTTTATTTTTATTGAAAGGCCAAAAATTAAGTTGGAATGAACGTTAAAATCTAATGTTGCTCTGAGCTTCGTTACAACTTAGATACATTTGAAGTGAAGATATGGGCAAGGGAGGGTGAAATCTTGCAAAAGACAATGCATACACAATCAGATTATAATACACAAACACGTAGACATATTTAGATATATAAACACGGAAAAAAGCGACGAGAAAGGAAATAGGGGCCCACGACCCTAAAAAAAAACCCAAAAAACATAGAGAAAAAAAAAAAGAAAAAAAAAAAAAAACGACAACGTGTTGTGGTAGGATCCACCTAATTTGCATAGTGGAGTATCGACCATATAAATATGGTTGGTACCGGGAAGAGAGGGAGGAATCAAGAGATTCAACCAGAGACTCTGCCCGACTGCGACTCAGTCAACACATTCTCCAGGAACGGTCTTACCAGTAATATACAAAAAACTATATGTAAATATTGTGTACACTTTCTTGTTTCAATACATTTTGTTCTAAGTACATTTTGTGTTGCATTATTATTCCATGCATTAGTCAAGTTTCAACACAACATATACATACATATATAGAGGCACATATAAGCGATTATACGCACATACATTGATAACGACTAAACCTCTCGTTGGTGATCTAAATACGGCGGTTGCCTATACAACTATTCAAATTTGAAAGTGTTAGTAAATGAATTCAAACATACAATTAAACTATAACTAATACGGGCAAAGATATATAGATAAAAATGGTTGAATAGATAAAATTTAATATGGGTAGAATAGAAAAACAAATATTCGTCAACGAACAACATAAGAAAAAATAAAGGACATTAAAATATATAGAAATGGATAGAAAAATAGATATATACGCATAAAAATAACTCTACCTAATATATAAAAGAAGGAAACTCCTAAGCACAGAAGTATAAATAAATATCTCATATATACTTATATACGTATCAGTACACATACACGAGTACAAATATATAACAATATGTGAAAGAAAATAAAAATACATACAAACGTATGTGTACACACATTCTTCACTACAGAAAGAAACATAGAAAAGTATACCTACGCATAAACATATACATACAAATATATCCAAATTTTACATTGGAAGTACTTTTACACGGTCTTGCTATATAGACTAGGTTACATTTGTTATTCATGTACCTTTGTGGCTAGTCTGTCGTCAACGTTTAATGTGTGTAGTAGTCGGTTAACTGAGAAGTGTTCCTTTTAACAATCGTAGGATATTGATATCGTGAGCAGACAGATATGTTTTTTACATACGAAAGGGCGGATGGTAATGGAGGCGAGGCTGCACGGTTGTATCAGATTCCGTTTCAAGGCCGAAGACAGCCGAAACAGTTAGCCTTTGCTGCTGTCTATTGTCGCGTTGCTGAGACAGAAACCGTGGCAGAACAAACTGTGGATCGAAGCACACCGTGATCCGCTCGTACGCCTGACCAAGTAGAACACATTCCACAGGTTGTCGGAGACGATCCAGGTATCATGACGATTTAAATGGCACTAGCGTAGAGATATCTCATACAATAACATGGAGGGTAATTCAATAACATCTCCTGTATCGCGTCCACTACCATTCGCGCGGCCGTAGGTAAAAATCATATCTACCTAATCACGATATGAATATACTGCCGTTCTTAAACGGAACACATATCAATAAAACACGCGTTACACTTTGAAGACAAACCAGTCACTAATTTACACGAATAAACGATAGATACATGAAAAGGATTGAGCTAGCTAGATTGGAAATGAAAAGGAGATAGATAGATAGATAGATAGATAGATAGATAGATAGATAGATAGATAGAGAGAGTAGATATATAGATAAAAAAAGACGCAAATAGATTGAAAATGATAGACAGACTGAGAGAGAGTCATAGATATAATAGATAGATACATGAAAAGGATTGAGCTAGCTAGATTGGAAAATGAAAAGGATAGATATAGATAGATAGATAGATAGATAGATAGATAGATATAGATAGATAGATAGATAGATATTTTAGACGCAAATAGATTGATATATAGACAGACTGAGAGAGAGTCAGATATAACGATAGATACATGAAAAAGGATTGAGCTAGCTAGATTGGAAAAATGAAAGGAGATAGATAGATAGATAGATAGATAGATAGATAGATAGATAGAAAGACAGAAATAGATAGAAAAGAGATTGATCGATAGACAGACTGAGAGAGTCAGATATATATATAGATACATGAAAAAGGATTGAGTGTGCTAGATTGGAAAATGAAAAGGAGATAGATAGATAGATAGATAGATAGATAGATATATAGATAGATAGAAAAAAAGACGCAAATAGATTGATCGATAGACAGACTGAGAGAGAGTCAGATATAACGATAGATACATGAAAAAGGATTGAGCTAGCTAGATTGGAAAATGAAAAGGATAGATAGATAGATAGATAGATAGATAGATAGATAGATAGATAGATAATAGAAAAGAGAGAAATATAGATTGATCGATAGACAGACTGAGAGAGAGAGTCAGATATAACGATAGATACATGAAAAGGATTGAGCTAGCTAGATTGGAAAATGAAAAGGAGATAGATAGATAGATAGATAGATAGATAGATAGATAGATAGATAGATATGAAAAAGACGCAAATAGATTGATCGATAGACAGACTGAGAGAGAGTCAGATATAACGATAGATACACGAAAAAATGAAAAAGGATTGAGAGATAGATTGGAAAATGAAAAGATAGATAGATAGATAGATAGATAGATAGATAGATAGATAGATAGATAAAGATAAATAGATATCGATAGACAGACTGAGAGAGAGTCAGATATAACGATAGATACATGAAAAAGGATTGAGCTAGAGATTGGAAAATGAAAAGGAGATAGATAGATAGATAGATAGATAGATAGATAGATAGATGAAAAAAAGACGCAAATAGATTGAGATAGACAGACTAGAGAGAGTTGGAAATACATGAAAAAGGATTGAGCTAGAGATAAAATGATAGATAGATAGATAGATAGATAGATAGATAGATAGATAGATAAATAATATGACGCAAATAGATTGATCGATAGACAGACTGAGAGAGAGTCAGATATAACGATAGATACATGAAAAGGATTGAGCTAGCTAGATTGGAAAATGAAAAGGAGATAGATAGATAGATAGATAGATAGATAGATAGATAGATAGATAGATAGAAAAAAAAAGACGCAAATAGATTGATCGATAGACAGACTGAGAGAGAGTCAGATATAACGATAGATACATGAAAAAGGATTGAGCTAGCTAGATTGGAAAATGAAAAGGAGAGATAGATAGATAGATAGATAGATAGATAGATAGATAGATAGAGATAGATAGATAGATAGATAGAAAAAAGATAGATTGATCGATAGACAGACTGAGAGAGAGTCAGATATAACGATAGATACATGAAAAAGGATTGAGCTAGCTAGATTGAAAATTGAGATAGATAGATAGATAGATAGAAAAGATGAAAAAGACGCAAATAGATTGAGATAGATAGATAGATAGATAAAAGGATAGATAGATAGATAGATAGATAGATGAAAGACGATAAAATAGATTGATCGATAGATTGATCAGAGACTGAGAGAGAGTCAGATATAACGATAGATACATGAAAAAAAAGATTGGAAAAAATGAAAAGGATTGAGATAGATAGATAGATAGATAGATAGATAGATAGATAAAAAAGACTAGATTGATCTAGATTGATAGATAAAAAAAAGGATTGAGCTAGCTAGATTGGAAAATGATAGATAGATAGATAGATAGATAGATAGATAGATAGATAGATAGATAGATAGATAGAAAAAAAGACGCAAATAGATTGATCGATAGACAGACTGAGAGAGAGTCAGATATAACGATAGATACATGAAAAGGATTGAGCTAGCTAGATTGGAAAATGAAAAGATAGATAGATAGATAGATAGATAGATAGATAGATAGATAGATAGATATAGAGATGAAAAAAAAAGACGCAAATAGATTGATCGATAGACAGACTGAGAGAGAGTCAGATATAACGATAGATACATGAAAAAAAGATTGAGCTAGCTAGATTGGAAAATGAAAAGGAGATAATAGATAGATAGATAGATAGATAGATAGATAGATAAAATAGATAAAAAAGAGAAATAGATTGAGATAGATAGACTGAGAGAGAGTCAGATAGATAGATAGATGAAAAGGATAGATAGATTGGAAAAAGAAAAGGAGATAGATAGATAGATAGATAGATAGATAGATAGATAGATAGATAGATAGATATAAAAGACGCAAATAGATTGATGATAGACAGACT